CCTCTAATTTGACCGTTCCGCTTTTCATCCGTTCCTTAATCCTTAAACGCGAATTGCATTAGTGCAGCCGAGATGCGGTATAAACTTCCAGACAGCTATTTGAATTTCAAAGTGCTTTTTTTCGAACGGTTAATTTAAGGAAATACCGCATTCTTTACGTAAACTCTGTGTTGTAAACAATATTTGCTCGCTATGCATTCAATCGATAATAACTGACGTCATATAATTACGTTCACGTTTATTTCAATTAAAAAGCGATTGTTGCTTGAATAATGCCTTTGGCAGGTATCAATTGAAATAAATTACAAAAATCGTTTATAAAGTATACGAGGAAGTGAATATCCTTTGAATCAACACTTTATTATTAATAATATTAATCCGGTACAAATTGTATCGATGAAAACCAATTCATCCAATTCCATAATTCATTATTAATCTAAAAATAGACAATTCCGAGATTCGTACGTTTTTTTAAACATAACCTGTACCATTAGATTGTGGACATCTTCGCACAAAATAAAAATACATGCATCGATTACAAGAAATAGGAATTGCATAGAGAAATTGTCTTTCATCAATGATCCAGCGAGTTGCAGACAATACAACAGAATCCTTAAATTGTTTTGTTATTTTACCGTCTCGTGTTTCACCCTGTTCATAAATGGCACAAAATGCACAGTCTAATTATTGCTTTCACCTCGAAGCAACTGTTTCCTTCGCGCATAAATGATCGTCAAAACGAATGTAACCGAAGTACACGATTAAATAACAATGATTAGATTCTGAAGCTAGATCGAAAGTCGCAGTTCCCGGTCCGGAAAATTCGCCGGGATTTAATCTCGCCGAACGAGCGAGGTAATTAAACCGGGAGCAGACGATAAAAATATTGAAATCTCTTGAACCTGTTCCCCGACTCGCCGGACTAAATAAACTCATAACAATGATTAAATATTCAGGGCCGTAATAAAGAGCCTGTCCCCTCTCTACCTCCATAAATACCACTTACTTCACCCTATTCCACCCCTTAGCTTAGCGCAGCGCGGTCCTTAGCTTTAGCAACAATGTACCGTATTATGAACTCACGGGGGCCCCCCTTCTCGTTTCGGTGCTTCCCCCTCGATCGGTTATTGCAGATACGCCCCGACGCGATAATTCCGTGCGGACGAGCGGCCGCCGCGACTAAAGAGCAATTAGCGTGCAAAAGAAAAAAATCGCGGAGTCGATCGCTAACGATACCGAGGCATTGACGAATCAATTCAACCGACGCCGCGAAGATCACAATCGATGAATGCGCCGATAATTGGAACTTACGATCGATACCCCCTCTTCCGAAAACTTTGCGCCACCTTTTTCTCTCTTATCGCGAGATCGGATACGATGCGTTTCGCACTCGTGCGTGTTCGTGAAGCAAAATCTTGGGAAATGTTTCTTACATTGACTAGAAGATTCTATAACAGAGAAGTTTATTAACACGTTACCGTTCGGATGGCTAAGAATAGTCTCATTTTCTTGTTTGCTCGGGAAATGCGGTTTGAGATGAAAGATCCAATCGTAAAATTTATTCGTGCAATTGAATCGAAGTAAAATCTATTCTGAACGAAGCAATATATTTTATAATTTCATACAACCGTCTGATATCTTATAAGATACAGCCACTTTTGTAAAGCGATGCAACCACCTCGAAATGTGCCTGCTGCGCGCAAAAGTTTTCGCACAAACAGCCCGAGCCGTATAAATTATAAATTGATAACTCGTTCTTTTATACTTCATTGTTATATTACGAGTCATCGATCGATTCATCAATTTGTGAATATAGTGAACGATGCGAGGTTAGAATATTTTATATTGAGAATTTAACCGTGACGAATTTCTTGTCGATCATTCTCAGATTGTGGTTTTTAGGAATTTCTGACTAAAGTTACCAGGTGAAGTTTAGAAGAGCAAGAAGATTGGAAGAATTCAAAAGGATGTCGCTGTGTCAATCCCAATTTATTAAAACGATCAAAGGAAACAATGATTGTTCGGTTTCTACAATAAACGCGAAGTATTTTTATCAAACAATTGGACTGCAGACTTTCAAATATACAGTAAATTCTCCCCAATTGTCCCTCAGCTTGTAAACAAATATGGACAATTTGGGAGGAGAAGATACGACTAATCGAGCCTTGTGGCTTGTTTTTATAGTTGTTGACAATCGGTAACTATAAAAACAAGCTGCAACGCTCGATTAATCGTACCTTCTCTTCCCAAATTGTCCATTTTTGTTTCCAAGATGAGCGTCACACACACAATTAGGGAGAATTTCCTTAGATCTTAAAACCATCGAGATTCTAATAAATGGTACCACACTGTGATCGTATTTCATGATCCACTCTAATTTACAGAAACGCAGTCTTTCAACGAAGCAACGGAGCTCCTCCTAAGAACTGTGTCCTGCCGAACAAAACGAACGTTATTTAATTAGATCATGGAGCCTCACCTGAGCCGTTTCGCCTCGTCGATGAACGGTCGTTTCTCGCTCTCGCTGAGCAGCTTCCACTCGGCGCCGAGCCTCTTCGAGATCTCGGAGTTGTGCATCTTCGGGTTCTCCTGTGCCATTTTCCGTCGCTGTCCGCGGGACCACACCATGAACGCGTTCATCGGCCTCTTGATGTGCTCGTTGTGCAGCGTTTTCGACGACATAGCTAGCTCTTTCGTTGACTTCCGTGTTGTACAATCTAGACTCCTCAATTCCCGCTTCCAGACAGTCGTCCAGTCTCGTACGGATCCACTGGCAGAGCTACCCTCCTTCTCCCGCCTACCTCGTGCGTCATTGTCCAAAAACCGGCAGCTGTCGTCGAAGCACCAGGCACCTCGTGTGCAGCGTGGAATCACGTGGCCGCCGGAACCACCAATCTCAGCACGACACGGTCCGATTAGTCAACTAGTACGATTCGGAACTTCAACTTCAACTTGAACTTTCAGTGACCGTCCGGCTCCTCGTGGACCCTCGGCCGCCTAAACACCCTGGATCGCTTCACTCCTCGCGTTCTCGACAGTTTCGTCAGCTTCCGGGCACCTTCGCTCACAGGATCCTCCTTCGGGTTGATTTCTCAAGTGCCATGAACGATCGTGATCGCGTACCTGTTCGGACGACGATGCTCCCGGGATCGGGATCGGGTCAACTGTTGACCCCACGTGTCGGCGAACGGTGAACACCAGCGGGCCGAGGAGCTGTTTGATTGATACCGTGTCGAGGACTGGCAAGGGTCCAGCCAGGACCTCTCCGGCGTCGGGTCTGGGATGAGCCAGGGAGGAATCGGGAACCGTGGAGTAGCTGGAGCCCGTGGGATGCGGTGGAAACAAGGATCGGCCAACCAGGAATGCTCCTCATCTCCCACTATGGTTCGCGGCTGTCGGGCACACACGATTGGCTCCTTCGCAGACATGGCGGACGGAGGACACCGCCGGGATCAACAGGTGGAGGTGTTCCTTCTCTGTCCATCCCGTTCACCTCTTCCCTTGCTATCGTCGCCGGCGCGGAGCGGAACGAAGCGGAACGAAGCGGCGCGCGGCGTCCGCCACGGGTATGTCTCTGTTAGCCAGATTATCGTATACTATCACGTTTTTCTGACCTTTTTGCGCGACGCCGATGGTCAGCCCGTTTCCGGGACATTGATGGCTTCAGACAATGCCGCTCGGCCGGAGATCCGCGGATTTAAGTGGATTGGACGGGCGCGATCCAGTTGCGAGAGATCGATCAGACTTCGGAGACCGGTCCTGGAAGGTTTGCGTACGATCGGAAAGAATTTAATCATTGTTCTTCAATATTCGAACTACCGAACTAGTCAAAACGACTGGTTTCTGATTTCTTTTATACAATTTCTGATAGATTAAAATCTTTTTGTTAGAAACTTTTGCGTGAACTTCGACATTGAAGCATATATTATGATAAAAGTCGTAGAAAATTTAAATAAATCCAATCTTGTCGTTGTTATAAAACGATGTATGCAGTGGTCACGTTTAGGGGTCGGTAGTCCTAATGTTACCCCTAGCGAGGCGGTTTTTGATCTAGAGTATTTAATTTAATTTAATTTAATTTAATTTATTTTAATTTAATTTAATTTAATTTAATTTAATTTAATTTAATTTAATTTAATTTAATTTAATTTAATTTAATTTAATTTAATTTAATTTAATTTAATTTAATTTAATTTAATTTAATTTAATTTAATTTAATTTAATTTAATTTAATTTAATTTAATTTAATTTAATTTAATTTAATTTAATTTAATTTAATTTAATTTAATTTAATTTAATTTAATTTAATTTAATTTAATTTAATTTAATTTAATTTAATTTAATTTAATTTAATTTAATTTAATTTAATTTAATTTAATTTAATTTAATTTAATTTAATTTAATTTAATTTAATTTAATTTAATTTAATTTAATTTAATTTAATTTAATTTAATTTAATTTAATTTAATTTAATTTAATTTAATTTAATTTAATTTAATTTAATTTAATTTAATTTAATTTAATTTAATTTAATTTAATTTAATTTAATTTAATTTAATTTAATTTAATTTAATTTAATTTAATTTAATTTAATTTAATTTAATTTAATTTAATTTAATTTAATTTAATTTAATTTAATTTAATTTAATTTAATTTAATTTAATTTAATTTAATTTAATTTAATTTAATTTAATTTAATTTAATTTAATTTAATTTAATTTAATTTAATTTAATTTAATTTAATTTAATTTAATTTAATTTAATTTAATTTAATTTAATTTAATTTAATTTAATTTAATTTATTTTAATTTAATTTAATTTAATTTAATTTAATTTAATTTATTTTAATTTAATTTAATTTAATTTAATTTACTTTAATTTAGTTACTCAATTTTCGGCGATTAAATGCAATAAATTGCTGAAAGGCTAATAAGTCTGCAAGAAATATCTTCAAAAATGTGTTTTGAGAAATTGACGACTAAAACTAAGAATTTGTTGTAAACATCGTCGATAGTATAGTTGTGAATATCGTCCGCGATTCGAGGTTTAATAAACAATTGATTTTTTATAAGCTTGGTAACAGGTTCCTCGATGTCTGCCTTGCATGTAAGAGTTATGATAATTTTAAACGAAGGTTTTTCGTTCGTACAATGCTTCATACGAATGAAAAAAGAACAGTTCTAAATCGTATAAATTTTATTAAATTCGAAAATATGTTTCATGTTTTATGCGCATCTGTTATAAGGAAATCGAGTCACGTCAATTTTCTGTTCATAACTATGCGAAAACAAGTTTCATTTGTTTAGAATTCTGGAATAACACGTAAGCAGATGAAAATTATTATGCGTTAAGGGATTAACGAGTTTCTTAATGCTTATCTAAAAGAAATTGTTGTGCCTCTGATGATTAGACTGTGGATTTTATGCATTTATGATAACAATGAATAGCTGCAGTTGAAGACAGTGATAAGATTAGAGGACTGGAAGAATGTCGATATAACAATCGTCATTGCATTAGAATTGTTAAAAGCAGGAAGAAAGTCCTACATAGTTTCTATACTTCACAATAATTGCAGACAATTTTTATTTTCTATGAATATTCCATTTGATATTCCAATTTCTACTCTTGTCGAGAACATAATTCAAAAATTCTCAAATACTTTGTTAATATCTTGCAGGAGAATTTTGTTACAATTTTGTTACTGTTGGATAAGATATATAAGGAATAAATATATTTTTCTTTACTCCGTGTCTCTCATCTTCGGAATCGAGGTAGAAAATTTGCATCCTCGAGATTTTAATCGTAGAGATCGAATACTTTTTGAACGATCGAGTACATTTTGTAATCGTTAAAAACGACCAAGTACAAACGCCCTCGACCAAATTTTGTTCCTAAGCCCCTTGTATTCTTTATGTCCACGCGATGGAACGCAGACATTTTTTCCCCCCACTTTGTTCGTCCGGTGAACGAGAAGAACGTGCTGGGGCACTTCTCGAAATAAATGTTATCAGTCCTGGCAATGTCTTGCTGGAAGAAGCGGCCGCGGAAAGGGGGCGAAAGGGGCGAGGAGAGTAGGGACGTGGGGCTGAAGACGTCTCCAGTGATAAGACGATAAAGCGAGGAGGTGTAAAACGAGACAAGAGGGCTGTGTGTTAGTGGTAACATCTCAACGAATTCCAGCTTTCATAAAGCAGCGGCTGTATAGTCCTGCGATTGAATTTCCGGACGGTTTCGGAATATCCATTTGTCGCCGGCGCGAGGGAGAATCCGTGTCACGAGCAGGAAAAATGAAACAATGCAAGAAAAATACGATTTTCAAACGACACGGATGTCAAACTTGATTAAAAAATCGGGGACTCGGTGACCATTTTCGCCGAAGCCATTAATTTTTGATGCTAATACAAGCGTACGCGATATTGCAAATTACGCGCAGATGAAGCAGCATGATGAAACGAAAATAGATAGAATGAGTCGTACGATAAATCGTGTGATCAATCGTACGATCAATTGCATGAACAATCGTACGATAAAACATATTTTAGAAAGTTTGATGTAACTATTTTATGTGCAAAAATCCTGATCCTTCGTTTTTACTTCACTGATAGATATAAACCATTTTATTATTTTTTATATACTTTTTGGAGAAGATAAGAATGCTCTGCGTTAATTGAAAGATCCAGTGTTTCCTTTCCGAATAACTTGAATGCCCTGAAAATAACAGAATACTATTTTCAGCGATTATTCAAATGTTCTCGCCGTCTTGCATTTAATCACAAATGCATAAGATTCGCAGTCCGATCGCAAATGAATAATGAACTAAACTCTTGACTATTTCAGACCGAACGAACAAAGTTTGAAAGCCGCTGTCCTACGGTTTCCACCAAACTCATGTTGTCAACGAATGAATCATTTGTTCCATTGAATCGATTTTTGTGAATAAGATGAACCATAGATTAGAAAGGGGCAGAAAATTGACCGTGCGACAGACGGAAGCGAATCAATGGCAGAAGAAGGAAGGGTGGGACGAGGGGCTCGCAGATTATCGAAGCCAATCAGCTATTTGTTCTGTTATTAACTCAATCATAAATTCGGTGCACGACGGTGCACGAGTAGCTGCGGTTCGACTGTCATTCTGACGGCGTGCCTTTATCGCCCCCCTCGTTACACAGTCTCCGTTATTCATGGGGCGTGAACACGATTTTTATCAGTCATCGGCGAGAAGAAAAGGGGGCTCGCGCGCCCCTTTTCAAGGTCTGGGTTAGGTCACCGCGCGGGACCCTTATCTGTGAGCCGATACTTTCAATTAGTCAATATCGCCGGCAAACATCGCGCCCTCTTTCGCGACATGCTCTTTCACCGATTTATCGCTGCTTCGTTCGTACAGAATTCAACAGCTCTTTAAACGTTATTAAGAAAGATCCATAACGAACAACGATCAATAACAAAATCTCATTGTTAAGAAATTCGTAAGTGTCTCGTATATCTCAATATACGTTGAGTAAGATAAATTGATCTATAGTTATAAATATGCAAGAAAATAATACGTTGCACGTAGGAAATTCGTGGGAGTCTCATATGTGTGCTATAAATTGTTCGGATATAAATCAATCTGTTCAACGGTTGAAACATTCAGGATAATATTAATGTGTCTTATAAATTGTTCAGACATTAAATCAAATCGTAAAGTAGCTGAAATATCTAAGCAGATATTAAGCTGTTGATAAATTTACTTCTCAATTTCTGGAAGACGAAATTGCCATTTATCGAGTGAAACTAAATTAAGAAACGTTGAAGAAGACAACAATACAACTCATACAATACAACTAATTTCATTGTATAAAATATTTTAAATTCTTCAGGAAATGTAATATCTTCCAAAGTGAAACTTAATTCCTTAAAATCA